AAGGACACGCCAGGTGATAATACAGGGTGAGGATGTAATTGATGGAGCTAAGTGGGAGGGGAGAGAATTCAAGCTCAGGAGACAGGATGGATGTGCCCCAGAAAGGAGCAAAGGAGGGGCTGAGGCATGCTGTACAGCCCACCCATAACTGTTTCTACTTTTTGAAGGAAACAAGAGAGGAAGATGGAAGTGGTCTGAAATGGAAATGTGGAGACTGGGAGTGAAAGTTGACCAGTACTCTAGGGGGCACCAGGAGGCAAAACTGAAAACTAAATTGAGGCTGGAGTCCTTGATGCTGGGAAGCGCCAATGTACACAGCTGTCCGCTTTTCCCCCTGAGTGTGGAAGGGAAGAGGGTAGATAGTTTAGAACTCTGCAAAGCAGGGATATCAGGACAGGACTCTTAGAAAGCCAAGAAGCTTGACCAAGATGGGCTCTTCTTCCACCTGTGCCTCAGGGTTTACCCTGTGTTAAAGTGTCTTCTCACTTATCACAAGGCTTTCCTAGGCTTAAAAACACCAAAAAATTCAAGGAATTAGACAGTGTACCTAGTGGTGGTACCATGGGTGTACATTAACCACAACTACAATCTAAGAGAGAGGACAAATGGGAGCAAGGGGTACAGCCTGAATCAGGAGACAGGAGACCAGGCTTTACTCTTGTCTCCATTCCTGTGTGACCTTGAACAAGTTCCTTCTACTCTGGGAACCCTGCTGTCCTAATAGAATATTTAGAACAGACGGTTTTCCTAAGGTCTCTGCAAGTTCTAAATATCACTGTGCTTACGAGGAGTGGATGGCAGGAGCAATTGGATCACCGGGGCCACAAAAGCCTGGGTACCTTCTTGCTGAGGACCCTGCATCATTTCCTACAGAAAAGATTCACTCCTAAGTACATGGGAGTTTCAAAAAGTTCAGGAGAAAATACCAAGATCCTTTCATTCCATTTTTCCATGGGTTTTTTGAACCCCCAGAGTATATATCATAGGAGACCTGGTGTGGCACTATGGGTTAATGCACTGGACTGCAAAGTTGGTTTGAACCATAAGGTCAGTGGTTCAAGCTTACCAGCTGCTCCTTGGAAACCCTGTACAGGGTTGCTCTGGCTCGGAACCAACTTGGTGGCACTAAACATAAGATATACCATTGGAGCTCTGGTGATGTAGTGGGTTATATGTTGGGCTGCGAGCCACAAGGTCAGCAGTTCAAGTCCACCTGCAGGAGAAAGATGAGGTTTTCTGCTCCCATAAAGATATACAGCTGCAGAAATCCTATTCAGGGTTGCTATGAGACTGAACCATGCACATGCAAAACAAGAAGTATTTACCCAAACCAAACCCACTGCCATCTGACTCAGGGCGACCCCACAGGGTAGAACAGAAATGCTCCTGGGCTTCTGAGCCTATAAGCTTTATGGAAACAGACAGCCTCGTTTTACTCCAACAGAGTGAATGGTGGACTTGAACTGCTGACGTTCAGATTAGCCGGCCAATGACTAATCCATAATACCACCAGGGCTCCCCTCCTGGCAGTGGTGTTGTTAAGTGCCATAAGAGTTGGTTCAAACCTACCAGCCGCTCCTTGGAAACCCTACAGAGAGTCACTATGAGTTGGAACCTATTCTTTGACACTTAACAACAACAAATACAAGGAACAGGCATTTTAGATTGAATTAACCCAAAATTTTCTGAAGACCTGGTACAACTGTAGTTGTCTTGCATGGCTTCAGAAGAGGGCCGGCTTGGAAATTTGGGGAAAATCCCAGAAAATGCAGCAGGAGCCAAAAAGCCTAGTTCCCCCCCACTTCTGTACAGTGTTTTTGCTTCCCTTGTTTTCCCTGGCTCCTGTCCTGGGCCTTAGCTTCCTTCCTCCAGGAAGCCCTCTGGCTGCCAATTGGACCCCTACCTGCCTGAGAGCTCCAACAGGGAGGCAAATTCCTTCCTGGCTTGGCTTCTCATTTACCCAACAGGCGGGGCAGCTTTGCAGGCCACACCTGGAGATTCAAATCAAATCAAGAGCCTCTCTGCCTTGGGGGCACTTCATTTGTATTTTAGCTGATCAGAGGAAATCATGCAGAGACCCACTTCAGAAGTAAACTGAATGAAAAGTGGGACCCCCTCAGCTTCCAGCTGTAGGGTGATACACCCTCCCACTCTCCAAGGTGCACACTTGGAGCTGGGTACCCCCACAGCCTGGCACACCCACAGCAGAGGTGGGCACTGCCCTGAACTGGGATTCTGGAGGGCTTTCACACTTTTCTTCATACCTGTCTTGACTGCAAACATGGAAAGGGGCTAACACTGGTTTGGGCCTGGGCGGAAAAGGAGTCATTGGGAACTGCTGGGGCACGCCAGGAGGCTGCACTGCTGCTCTTCACCACCAGAGGGCACTGACACAGTGACTGACTGGGTGCTGGTAGTGCAATTTGTGGAGCTCCTAGTTAAAGAATTTCAGCGACAGCAGAGCATTAATTAACCCAAGCATAGGGCCCTTCTAGGCGTGAAGCCTTGTGCAGCTGCACAGGTCTCACACCCATGAAGTTGGCCCTAGGTTAGGGGTTTCAGACAGCCCAGCCTTCAAGTCAGAGGAGACATTGAAGCCAGTACTACAACTAACCGGGATCCCTTAGCACTGTCTCCTACCTGCTTTCCTATCTTCTTTTACAATGTCATGCTGACCGTATGCACAATACTGAGAGGGAATTATGGTTTCAGAGAAAGCCACTGGGGTGCAGTTTTTGAAAGAAAAAAAAAAAAAGGTGTATGGCTTCATAATTATTAGGTAACTATCTTGGGAAGCAGAGGGAGCCCCTTCAAGAAACTAAAGTAGCACGGAGAATCCAAGCTCTGCAAATTTCGCTCCAGTTAAGGCTTTTCACTTGCTTCCAAAATTCCCGTCAACCCACAGCAGTCAGCCTGTTCCAAAATATCTGTGGCGCTGTAGGATAAGCACTAGACCTCAGGGTGGTTTGAATCACAAGGTTGGCAGTTCAAACTCACCGGTTGCTCCTCAGACACTCTGTACAGGGTCACTATGAGTCAGATCTGACTCAATGGTGCTTAACAAGAAGCAAGGAGAGCGGCCCAGAACTGACCTCTAAGATCCTTGTCAGTGCTTTAAGGTCACTGTCTAAGAGTTGAGCTGGGGCTGGAGGAAGCTCTGGTGGGAGCTTGAGGCTGTCCAGTCTGTAACCCAATGACTCATTTCTGTCCTCCCCTGGCCTTCAGAGAGGGTGACAAACTTGTGAGCCTATTCTTGCTGTGGAATCTGCTTCAACGCATGATCACCCCATGTGGCAGAGCAGAACTGAGCCCCATAGGGTATTCAAGGCTCTGACCTTTGGAAGCAGATGGCCAGACCTGTATTGCAAGTTGCTTCTGGATGGGTTCAAACTACCAACCTTTTGACTAGCAGTAGACCTACTTAACCACTGGAATACCCAAGGGCTCCCATAACACCCTGCAATTATCCTTCAGTGCAATTTGTGGACACACCATGCTAGTGAGACACACCATGCTAGTGTTTGTAAGACACACCATGCTAGTGAGAAGCTACTTGGGAAACAAAGTCATCCAATCTGATTCACAAGCTAAGGAGGAGGAGGCCAGGGCCACTCGTTTAAATTGGGACCCACAGAGCCCATGTGGAAGTCCTGATGTGGCACTGTGGGCTAATGCGCCAGGCTGCAAAGTCGTTGGAACTGCAAGGTCAGTGGTTCAAGCTCACCAGCGGCTCCTTGGAAACCTTATACAGGGTCGCTATGGGTCAGAATCGACTCGAAGACACTTAACAACAACAACAGAGCCCATGTGAAAGAGCCATGTGGTGATGCAATGGTTAAGCACTTGGCTGCAACCCAAAAGGTTGGAGGTTTGAATCCACCCAGTGGCTCTGCAAGAAAACCCCAACCCATTGCCATAAAGTTGATGCCAACTCATAGGATTTCTGAGGAGCAGCTGGTGGTTTGAATCACCAACCTTGCGATTGGCAGTCCAGTGCTTATCCTATAGTGCCACACCAGGAAATCCTACTTCTACTTTGTTACATAAGAGGAAGATCAACGTGAAAGCGTAACCCAGGTATTCTCCCTGGAAAGACTCGTGGCCACCGAGTTGGCTCTCTTAGTGACTCTATTGGACAGAGGAGAACTGTCCCCTAGGGTTACCAAGGCTTGTAAATCTTTACAGAAGCAGATGTCACATCTTTCTCCTGAGGAGTACCTGGGTTTGAATTGTCCAACGTTCAGTCAGCAGCCCAGGGCTTAATCACTGCACCACCTCCCTGAGAAGAGAGGAGTTTGCATCTGCAAATATGACAGCTAGGTTCCCTTACATAGTTAGCATGTTAACTGTGTCCTGAGTGTTCTCTTATCAGTCTTTTCCCTGGTGAGAATTAGTTTGATAAAGGGTAAATCAAAACAACAACAACAACAAACAAAAATCAAGCCTACTGCCACGGAAGGGTTCCCAACTCATCCCAACCCTATACAGGGTTTCCCAGCTGCAAATCTTTATGAGTGCTGACAGGCTCATCTTTATCCCTTGGAGCAGCTGGTGGACTTGAAACGCTGACCTTGCGGTTAGCAGCCCAATGCCTAAACCACAGTGCTACCAGAGCTCCTTTTGATAAAGGGAAAGTACAGTCCAAATCAATCACTTTTGGACTCTGTGACCTTGAGCAAGTCCCTAATCCCTGTGGGTCTCCTGTTGCATGGACCATTAAGGTGCACTTCAGTCCTAAAATAAATTCTATGATTCTCTGAGTTCCAAGTAAATGTCACAAAGGAGGCTGTCTAGCAGCGACAGGTATTGTCTGTGCCCAAAGCCTTTTTCCAGAGGAAATAATGTCTGAGGAGAGAAAGGACCTCTGTGGACTGACGTGAACTTCTGGTCTCTTCCTCGTGAGCATCTCTAATCTCTGCTGCTTCGAGGGAGGTACCCATGGAAACACAGGCATCTTATGCAAGAGACATCTTTGCTAGCTCAAGGGTTCTAGCACCTACCCTTCTCTTTGGTAATCTTCGTCCAGGTTTGACAGGAGCTGTGAGCCCTCTGTGGAGAGGTCCACAGCAGCCAGGGGCAGGTCCCGATAGGCAAAGTTGCCCAGCTGCACATGGGCAAGGCTCTTGGTCTCTTCGTCTACTTGTTGGGAGATGATTTCAACTTCAGAAATTCCTCCTTCTATGGCAGGCCTGAGGGGGGAGGAGGACAACAGGGAAGAGTCATCCCCAAGAACATAATCATTTTTCCAGTCCCCATGGGGAAGAGGGAGCATGTGCTAGAATCTATGCTGTCCAAGTGGAGAGCTGGTGAAGTGTGAGGCTGCCATTCACCCTTGCTGGTCACCCCAGGGATTGAATCGAGTCTCTAACCAGTCCCATCGCCTCACCTTTTAGGGAAAAGTGGAAGAATGGCAAGAGGAATTGCTCTGATCTGAAAATATGAGCTTTTTCAGGGAAGGTAAACACCCAGATAGTAACACTGCCAGCCAGGAAGGCCATGGTTTTAGTTTTCAGGCAAATCGACATATATATATTAACTTTTTATTGTGAATTGTGTGAAGGTTTACAGACAAGTTCATCAGCTCTACAAGGTTTTTATTAAAGAATGGCTTCCTGGTTTTCCTTGTCAAGGTTTTTTTCCAAAGTTTCAACCATGTATCCAGTGGTAGAGGAAAGAGGTGTTTGTTCACAACTGAAAGGTATACGGTTGGTACGCCTTTGGGGAGCCTTCCTGGAAACTTTGGGAAGCCTTGGGGAATGTAGACAGGTTTGTCCGCAATCAGCTGTCCTTGATTGTCACCCTTCCCCATCTATACTGGCCCCACTATATCTGCCTGTTTAAGGTTGGGAGTAAGAAGTGGGAGTCACTTGGTCAAATGTCTGAGTGACTGTGAGTCTCCTCCTATCAGACTTCCTCAGGGGACCCCCAATCCCTGACAACTCTGGTGGCATTCCAGTTTCTCAAACAGGGGCAGTATCACCTCCCAAACCCAGAAACAAAACCAAAAGACAAACCAGTTGCTGTTAAATCTATTTTAACTCCTGGTGATTCCATGGGTTGCAGAGCAGAATTGCTCCACAGGATTTCATGGACGTTCACCAAGCCTTTCTTCCGAGGTGTCTCTGAGAGGGTGGGCTTGAACAGCCAACCTTTCAGGGAATAGCTGAGGGCTTACCTATTTGTGCCAAATTAACTATGTGGCAAATTGTGGAGCATTTTTTGGTTCCCACAATAACCATGAGGAAGGAAGGAGAAAGTCACTACTGACATATCCAACAATGTGTCCAACAAGCAAGAACTGTCCTGCCCAAACACCAACAGCAGTCCTGCTAAGAGATGCTGGGCTAGATTGTCTTGGTTTAACTTTCCAGGGGCGCCATCTTTGTTTCTTCTTGGATCCCATCGCCTCTTGTAGAAGCTGAGGGTGTGGCTCTTGTATCTCTGGCTAAATAATGAGGGTTTGAAAGGAAAACGGTGTGACTGGAGAGAAGTAAATAATAACTACTTGAGGGAACACTGAGGCTAAGTGTCCAGGATACTGAGAGATCAGTTTTCATACTGAGGATGCTGGAAAGTGTATCAGCAGCTCGGCTCTTGAGCAAGGCTGTAATGCTGACTTCTGTGAGGCCCCTCTTTGCACCTCAGTTTCTCCACTGAGAATGTGAGGAGGTGACACAGATGCTCCCTGAGGACCATTCCATCTTCCTTTATGATCTGATATAGATAAGAACCCTAAGCAGGAGGGAGGGTCTCTAGGGTGACAAGACCCTACACGTGGATGGGGAGCTCTAAACTCTTAAATGTTCTTTTCCAACAACCACTGAAACCTAACCAGCAACACACATTCATGAAGTTGAGGGCTGTATATGCCTATTTGTCTTTTGCTTGAATCATCTAGATAATTGAAGGAAAAGTGGGATTTCTTTTTTATTTGAACACCACAGGTTGACTGCCAAAACTACTTGACTTCACCAAGTAATTTTCAGTGTCCCAATTCTCGTTCATAGCCCTCATTTAAACCTTTGCTTTTCATTACCTGTCAAGCACAGATAATGGTACTCATCATTGTGTGACATTTACAAAATGACTCAAGATCTTTAGACGGGACAGTCACAGGATGTGAGGCTTCTGTGTTTCTTAACAATGGAAATAAAAGTGTAGGTGTTTATGGGGGGAATTCCAACTCCTCCAGATGTTTCCCAAAAAACAGATGATAGGTTGAATTGGTTATTTATTTTTTTGGACTATGCGAGGAAACTATGAACTCCTGAACTGAACAAGCAGAGTTTTCTGAGCATTGGGGTACTCTTGGAGGGCTGGAGTAAGCGTCTTGGAGCCAAGCAGGCTAAGGCTCCAAGAAACATAGAACTTCTATCTTCTGGATTTTTTGCTATATTGTTCCCTTTCTACTGATGGCTGGTCACATGGTTATCTCAGTGGAGAAATAAGCATTCTCTTGGTGGGCGTGAAAGTGCCATAGTTCCTAGTCTGCTTACTGAGACTAGACCTTGACCTTGGATCTGTGGTAGATGATATGTGTCAAGGGCTCCATTCTTCATCCTCCCTGTGACAAAAGGCCTTTGCTATGTGACTTTGCAGCTCTATCGGTCAAAACAAAGTATCTTTTCCCATCCTTTGAATTTAAGTTTAGTCATGTGACTAGTTTTGTCCAATGGAATACTAGCAGGTACCACCCAAGCAGAGGCATTAAAAGGCTCTTGAGAGTTTCTGCTTGTGTGCTCACCTCTGACATCACCATTCAAAGATGCCCAGATGAACCAACTGAAGGATGACAGAAACATGGAGCAGAGCCCAGTCTCCCCTAAATTAACTGACAGCCAGCAGAGCCCCACATTCAAGAGTAAGCCCAGTCAAGATCAGCAGAGCTATCTGCCTGACTCCTCCAGACATGGGAACAATAAACACTTATTGTTGTATTCCACTGAGGTTCTGTGGTGGTTTGTTATGCAGCATGATGGTGCCAGTAAACAGCTGATTCAGCTGGTGTACAAATGCTCCAGATGACAGACCAACCAGGCCCAGAGAGAGGCCAGCACAGTGGAACGTAACAGTGCTGCTCTGATCTTGTCATTTCTGCCAACAATTTATAAAACTCAGGACAAGTGACCATCTTGCTAGTGCTTGGGTTTCCCAACAGTAAGATTAAGTGGTTTGTTCATAGGCCATCTTAAAAGTTTCGGGAACTGAAAGCAATTCGCCCTTAGGAGTATGGTCACTGTTTCATAAGGCCTACTTTGAGGCATCCTCTCATGATTTCTAAATTTCTCTGCAATTCTCATTTTTTTCATTCACCTTTGTTGCTGTTAAGTGCCGTCAAAGCACTTTCTAATCTAGTCTTGAGGTTTGCTTTTGGAAAGGTTTCCCTGTTTTCTGTGGCCTCTTTCATGCTCAAGGAAATGTGTGTTGTGGTTGCCCACATTATAAGATCTTTGTCTTACGGGAGATTTATAGCAATAGTGCTGGATTGCAGGATTCCTCTGCTTTGTGAACTATAGAAATAAATGTGATGTCCTTGTAAAAGGTTGCACAACTGGAGGAACGTAATCGATACCACCAAATGGTACATGTAAGAAACTGTTGAACTGGTGTATGCTTTGCTGTGTATATTCTCAGCAGCAAAGTAATTTTTTTTTTTTTTTTTTTAATGAGAAGCCCTTAATGATAAACTCAGAGTAAAATGAGATTTTTAACAAGTCATTTCAGTGAAGGCTCAAGGACAAACCACCTGAGAGGCCTTCCACTCCATAGGGCTGGGGAGAGAGCTCTCAGCTTGCACACTCGATTTGGATATACTGATTCCCCATTCACAGAGAGGGGATCGTGATACTACTCACTGTGGGTTGGTCATGTTGAAGGATGCAACCAGAGCCACAGATGTCCTGGGTATTCTAGTGGGGCTCAGCTGTCCTGAAGCCTGCCCTCAGCATTTCCAGGCGTGGGATCTATAAGACACACACAAACATGGACCCCTGAAAACAAGGAATCAAATAGATCTTTTTATTACACTCAGATGCCAAACCACAATCCTCTTAAGCGCCTCTAAAAATGGAAGTCCTTAGAATTTTCTCCTACAAAGCATTTTGGCTTTAAAGTAATGCTGAATGTTGTAGTTGTTGTTATGTGCTGTGGAGTCGGTTCCGACCCATAGCGACCCTGTACAGGGTTTCAAAGGCTGTAAATCTTTACAGGAGCAGAAAGCCTCATCTTTCTCCCGTGGAGCTGCTGGTAGTTTCGAACTGCTGACTGTGAGGTTCGCAGCCCAATTTGTAACCACTATGCTACCAGAGCTCCTGAGAGTCTTATCATTATTCTATGTAGGGATAGCAATAGGGTACCTTTATATAGGGTAATTGTAACAATAAAACTTTTTTCTCTCTTTTTTTTTTTAGAAAGGAGGAGACAGGTCCAGAGCGGCTGAGTGATTTTTCTATGTCATGCAGATGTGATGGAAGAGCCAAGCTAGACTCCAGATTTTCCGATTCTTTATCCGCAGCTCTTTCAGAAAGCCTGGGAAGCTTTAGACTTCATTCTTAAGCCAGTTGCCATTGAGTCGATTCCAACACATGGTGACCCCATGTGTGTCAAAGCAGAACTGTGCCCCATAAAGAATCCAACAGCAGACCTCCAGGCTTTTCTCCCATGATGCCTCTCTGTGTAGAGTCAATCTGTTCACCTTTCAGTTGGCAGGAGAGTGCATGAATGGTTATCGTCTTAAAAATCTCAACTATTTTCCCACTTATTTCTTTCTCCATTTTGCTTCTTTTTCTTGTTTTTCTTCCAGGCTTTCCACTCTTCCTCTTCTCAATCGGACCTCGCAGTAAGGGAGGCAGCGTAGCGGAGTAGTTAAGAGAGCAGGTCTGCAATCAGTCTGGCTCTCACTTACTAGCTCAGTGACCTTGCATAAGTTATGTAACTGCTTTATCCTCAGATTTCCCATCTATAAAGTGGGGATAGTAACAGAACTAACTAAATAATGCATGTAAGACATTTGGAGGGGTGCAGGACACATAGTAAGCACTGTATCCTTGCTAACGTTCATGATATGTTCATGATCATAATTATTAGTTTATAAATTAAAAGTCTTGTGGAAAACAACACAATTCAGCTGAAGGTGCACATAAAACAAGACAGAATGGGATTCTGGATGATTTTGGATACGTTATTAAGGAGATTACTCAAAGGAGTGATCCTTTTGACAGTCACATTCTACCATAAACTGCTTTTCCTGCCAGAAACCAAGACTCCCTTTTCTAATCCTAAAGCCCAGTCCTGGAGGCCGGAGAACTAGAGATACACAGTGAAATACGGCCAAAAGACATGCAAAAGGAAACGCCACTTCTAGGGGGAAGGGTATCAGAAGGTGGATGGGAAATTTTCAAAGAGGTAAAGCTCCTCTAACTTCTAGTAAGTACGAAACCCCAAGCCTACTGCCATCGAGTCGACTCAGACTCAAAGACTTCCAAGGTTGTAAATCTTTACAGAAGCAGAAAGCCTCATCTTTCTCCTGCAGAGGGGCTGGTGGGCCTGAACTGCAGGCCATGGTTAGCAATCCAGTGCTTATCCTGCAGGATCACCAGAGTTTCTTAAATTAAGAGAGAATTAAAGTTAAACTTGAGGAAACCTTGGGGAAGTTTGTACTCACAACAATGGAAGTAGGAGATAATGTAGAGTTCGCTAAATTGTTGGTATTAAGTGCTGCTGAATCAGTTCCAACTCATAGCGACCTGTTTTCAAGGAGTGGTTGATGGCTTTGAACAATTGAATTTGCAGTTAGCAGTCCAGTGCTTATCCTACAGCACCACACCAGGGTCTTAATATGAGGGGGTCTTCAAACAATTTGTGGAAAAATTCTATTATCCTTTTCAATTTAATTTTTCCATGATTTTTTTGAAGTGCTCTCATTTCCCTATCAGATATTTCTGGAGCAAAAAAAACATTTTTTTAAAATATATACAATTGTAGAAAATAATATAAAGGACCTCTAGTTACCCATTGGAGTCCTGGTGTGGTGCTGTGGTTTAATGCGCAAGACTACAAAGCCATTTGAACTGCAAGGCTGACAGTTCAAGCTCACCAGCTGCTCCTCGGAAACCCTGTACAGGGTCTCTATGGGTCGGAACTGACTCGACGGCACTTAACAACAACAACAACAACAGTTACCCATTGGAGTCCTGGTGTAGTGCTGTAGGATAATTCACTTGACCGCAATGGCGGCCGCTCAAACGGAAATCCTACACAGGGTCGCTATGAATCGTAACTGACTTGACTTCACTTATCAACAAACAATTTTAGAGAACTCTCCATCTTCTCGTACTTCCGTTGTTGTGTCACTGTGAGTCAGAACACACTAAACAGCACTTAACAACAACAACAAAAGTTACCCATCACCCAACTCCAACAATTATCAGCTCTTGGAGAGTCTCTTGTTTCCTTTATATTCCTGCCCACTCCAGACCCCATGATTATTCTGAAATGAGTCCTAACTGATGTTTCACTGATTTGTAAATGTTACAATGTGGCTCTAAAAGATAAAACGCAAAGCAAACTCATTGCCCCGAATGGATTCTGAGAGTATAAGTGCCCCACCAGGTTTCCAAGGCTGTGAATCTTTACAGAAACAGACTACCACATCTTCCTCCGTGGAGTGAGTGGCTGGTGGGTCTGCATCACTGATGTTTCAGTTAGCCCCTCAGCGCTTAACCACTGCATGTCACCAGGGCTCCTTACTCTAAAAGATGAAGCTGTCACAATATATAACCACAACACTACCCAAACTTCCAAATCAGCTATACTTCCCTAATGTTGTTAAGTGCAGGTGTATTTGAACTGCCAACCTTGAGGCTAGCAGTCCAGTGTTTCCCCTACAGCATAACACCAGGACTCAAACACCACACCACATATTCATTGTTCACATTTGTCCTGAGGTTTTTTTGGTTTTGTTTTTTTAAATAAGGGTTTACTGAATCAAGGTCCTAAGAAGGTACACACATTATGATTGGTTCATATAATTTGAGTCCTGGTGTGGTTAAGCACTGGACTGCAAAGTTGTCGGAACCACAATGTCGGCGTTTCAAACTTACCAGCTGTTCTTCAGAAACCCTATACAGAGTCGCTATGAGTTGGAAACAACTCAAAAGGATTTAATAACAGTATAATTCTTAACTGTCTTTTAATCTATAAGTAATTCCTCAACCTCACTTTTTCCATGCAATTTGTTGGAAACACTGGCTTTCTCCTTCAAATCTCCCCTAGTCTGGACTACAGTGATTGTATACGTTTTGTGTGTTTAAACATGTTCTTTTGTCCCCTCTATTTCCTGTTCATTTTATTAGAGTCTTCAATCAGATTTAGGTTAAAAACACAACCAACAACACAATCTTGCTTTGGTAAGACTTTATAGAAGGTATCATGAATTTTATCATGAGACACATAATGTCTTCTTGTCCTTTATGTGATACTAACAACCATTGATGATCACTTCCTAGACACATTAATCCACTGTTGTTATTGTTAGGTGTCATTGAGTCAGTACCGACTCATAGTGACCCTATGCACAAGAGAACAAAACATTGCCAGGTCCTTGACTAACCTCACAATTGTTGCAACGCTTGAGTTCACTGATGCTGCCACTTTGCCAACCCATCTCGCTGGGGGTCTTCCTCTTTTTCTCTGACCTGACCAAACATGATAACCCTCTCCAGTGACCGGTCCCTCCTGACAATATGTCCAAAAATATGAGAGACGAAGTCTGGCCATCCTGGCCTACAAGGAGCACTCTGGCTGCACTTCTTCCAACACAGATCTATTGGTTCTTTTAGCAGCCCATGGTACTTTCAACATTCTCCTCCAATACCACAACTCAAAAGCACCAATTCTTCTACGATCTTCCTTATTCACTGTCCAACTTTCACATGCATATGAGGTTATTGAAAATATCGTGGCTTGGGTCAGGCGTACCTTAGTCCTCAAGCTGACATCTTTGCTCCTCAACACTTTAAAAAAAAGTCTTGCGCAGCAAGCAGATTTACGTAATGCAATATGTTGGTTGATATCTTGGCTGCTGCTTCCATGAGTGTTGATGGTTAGTCCAAGAAAAACAAAGTCTTTGACAACTTCAATCTTTTCTCCATTGATAAGAATGCTGTTTAATGGTCCAGTTATGAGGATTTTTGTTTTCTTTACATTGAGATGCAAACCATACCAAAGGCTATGGTCTTCATCAGTAAGCATTTTAAGTCCTCTTCACTTTCAGCAAGCAAGGTGGTATCATCTGCATATCACAGGTTGTTAATGAGTCTCCCTCCAATCCTGATGCCACATTTTTTCTTCATATAACCCAGCTTCTTGGATTATTTGCTCAGCACACAGGTTGAATAGGTATGGTGAAAGAATACAACCCTGTCACATACCTCTCCTAATTTTAAACTATTTAGTATTCCCATGTTTTGTTTGAACTGACTCTTGGTCTATGTACAGGTTCCTCATGAGCACAATTAAGTGTTCTGGAATAGTCATACTTTGAAATGCTGTCCATAGCTTGTCAAGATTCACACAATTAAAGGCCTTTGCATAGTCAGTAAAGCACAGGTAACCATCTTTCTGGTAGTCTCTGCTTTTAGCCAAGATCCATCTGACATCAGCAATGATATCCCTATTTCCATG